GTCTGTGAGTGACTTGCGAGGAAGTCTCAAGCGGGAGCCCCCTCCCTATGGGGCCCGCGGATCATGTTACTAATCCGAGCGGGTCATCCAATTCTTGTATCTGTCGCCACTTTTGGGCTCTCGCGTTGCCAGAACGCCATTCCCAGGTCACATTTGTGAGTGAATTGCGAGGAAGTCTCAAGCGGGAGCCCCTTCCTATGGGGCCCGCGGATCATGTTACTTATCCGAGCGGGTCATCCAATTCTTATATCCGTCGCCACTTTTGGGCTCCCGCGCTGCCAGAACGCCATTCCCAGGCCACATTTGTGTTTGAATTGCGAGGAAGTCTCAAGCGGGAGCCCCCTCCCTATGGGGCCCGCGGATCATGTTACTAATCCGAGCGGGTCATCCAATTCTTGTAACCGTCGCCACTTTTGGGCTCTCGCGCTGCTAGAATGCCATTCCCAGGCCGCATTTTGAATGCCCGGAGCCAACTGTAGGCCACTTCGTGTTCTTCGTGCTCCCAGAACACCACTCCCGGGCCACATTTAGAATGCCCGGAGCCAACTGAAGGCCACTTCGTGTTCTTCGTGTTCCCAGAACACCACTCCCGAGCCACAACAGGAGGGCGAGAGGTCGGGGGCAACGTAGAAAGCGGGGGGAGGGCCCGCGCCAGGGCGAAAATTACTATACGCAGAAGAGACAGCCAGAACGCCTCACCAACCACGTTGACGACGGTGAGGGCTTTCTCTAGATTCGCCCAGAGGATTCTCATGTGGGGTCCTTCCGTCGGAGTAATTTTATGCTGGAGTAGCGCCCTACTCTCTTCAGCATTGGCGCCGCTCCCAGCAGCAACAGCGGCCCTGCTCGAGACTTATTCCCTTTGCGTTCAAAGCCAAGTCCTTGCCTCGCCGCCGACAGCCCCCATCCCCACCAAGGCAATCCTGTCGTTCGATACTTTCTTGCTCTTTACCCTTGGCTCGGGCTCCACTGGCGGTCTCGCATCGGCGCAGCAAGGCGCGGGCATGCGTTTTCGAGGCGGGATATTTAGAAATTCCTCGGAGGAGGTGTTTGCAAGACCTCATTGGGCGGGAGATCTGGGAATGGGAATAACGGGCCCCGCTATAGAACAAAACTCCCCCATGATGGGGATGGTTATCATGATGGTCGCATGCTTCGTGTGGAAAAACATCGCGCGTGAGGGTAAACTGATTGTTGTTGTGGTTGTTGAGAACGACGGATTTCAGACACCCCCCCTGGAGAGGGGGGAGGGGGTGGCATCGCATCGCATTTGGGGGGTGCTGCACCTACGAGATTCCTACGGGATCCCTGGCATTCCTGGATTCCTGTGGATCCGTCTGGATTCGTGGGGCTCCCGGGCATTCCAAGGGATTCGTGCGGATGTGTGCAGAGTGTTCTGAATTTCTGGGGATTCCTTCGCATCCCTCAGGATTCTTTTAGGAATCCATCGGATTTCTGAAGGAGGCTTCGGGGAACCCAGGATTCCCGCGGATTCCATCGGATTTTTGTGAATTCCCAGCGAATTCGGATTCCGATGGATTTCTTTGGATTCGGGGGGAGTCTTTCAGATTGTTCATGGTTTCAGAGGATCCCGGCGCCCGCAAGGATTCCTCAGGATTCATAGGGTTTCCAACTCTAAAGGAGGTTGGGGCAAAGGCGAGAGAAAGCGAGCGTTTGTCTGCGGCCGTTTGTGCTCAAGCGGCTGGCCGCCAACATATGATTGTGCTTCATCGCGAGGCACACTATTTGCCATTGGGACCGAAAATATCTTCGATTGACATGGCCCGTCGCTCCCGCGACGATCTCCTACTTTTGGAATTGCCGTCGCTACGGTACAACAGAATTGGATATGGGCTTCGCCTTAGGCGAAGCTTCTGGTTGGGCCTCCCACCCCCCTTCAAATTTGTAAGCGGAGCTGGCCTATGGTGGTCAACTCTAGCTCTACTCTCCACCATCCACGGCACTATGTGGTGGATTATTGACATGGTGGAACATCAGGGTGCAGTGGGTTTGCGCGGAGGAATGTGCATGAGTACGCACAATCGCAAGGACAGTTGCAGTGGTATCTCCGTTCTCGCGGAGGCCTCTTATATGAGTCCCACTTCCCTGCGCTATTGCACTCCTGAAGTCCACCGTCCTGCTCTAATTGGGCACTTTTCTGAAGACGCATGGTAACGTGCGATGCGACATTGTGCCGCCTCCACCCCCCGCAAGTTAATTGCAGCACGCCGCAACCCCCAGCCACGAACGTCTGACCACGACCTAAAGGGCCACTGGATTGGTATCACCATCTTCGGCTTCCTGTGGGTCGCTGTCGGATGTGCTGTGGGGCATATGCAGCGTGGCGGGGGACACGCGCGTTCAACCGGCCCCCACTGGGACCCTGCCGGTAATGCACCTTTTCCGCGAATTCGTTCGCGAGGTTCGCGCCTGGTTCAACGTGGCACAGGCGGTATGACCCCTCCCAACAGGCCGCAGGACTGCAGCGTGGTTTGGGAGGGCTCGCGAATCACGGCGTAAGCATCGGTGGTCGCCACGCTGACGGCGCCACCTACATCGTGTTCCTCCTCAGCGCTAAGTTTGGAAATCTAGAGGAGGAGCGCCGACGGAATTCAGGAACTGCTCTCGTCGACTTTCGCGTCCATGCGGGAGAGGATCGACCAGAGGTCAGCGCGCTGTGAGATCGCCCGTTTCGAGGTCGAGACCGCGGGCTTCAATATCCCCAACTTCCAGATCCTAACAGTCATCCTGTTCAGGGCTCTGGGAGTGGGCGCGTCGCGTGCACAACAACTACAACAACCGGTCGACCACCAAATGCCAAGGGCCCAGCAATAATCTGACTTCCTACTAGAACGCACGAGGTCCCATGCTCACATTGCCGAGCGAACCCCTGGCAACATTGGTGGTGTATTTAGTTGCTGTCATCGTGCCGAAACCTTCCACGCTGAAACCAATGCAGGGCAACCTGCCACCAGCGCCTGGAACGATGATCCACAACCAACAGAAGCCACCACCTTATTGACTCAACATGGTGGCCAGCCTATGGGGTCGCAAGACTCATGGACTCGATGTCGGGGGCCGTCGGCAACGGCAGCCCCTGCCCGAGCCGCTGCCCTTGTAGGCTCAGCGGGGCGACCCGCCGAATCTAAATGTGACTGTGGGGCCGACGTCGACACTTCATCAGATGAAGGAACTGGTGCCTTATATCATTCTGACGTGCCTACGTGCCCGACAGAAGAGCAACAGGTCCAGTGGTTATTTCTAGGATACCAGAAACAAACACGCCGCTGGATACGTTTTATGAAGATATCACTTCGTAAGGCACGACGTGTCCGACGGGCGTTCAGAGCAAAGGGTAAGGGTGGAGGCAACGGTAAAGGCATTCGACGGCGACCACATGGCAGAGGAATGTTGGCATTCTTGGTATCCCTCACTGGACCGCAGTGCGAAGACATTTTCCTGGGAACGGGTAGAGGCCGTAGGCGCACCTCAGGAAAAAAAGGGTAAGGGGCGTCGGGGTAACCCGAAAGATGCCAATGGGGGAACCATGGAATGTGATATCTGCTATAGCACACAACTTTTCCGTCGTGGATGCCTTCAGAATTATTGAAGAATCGCGCTATCGCGCGGATTTTCTCACAATTTACAGAGGAATCGCGCTCTCGCGTGGGATGTCCTCGCAATTCATTCCGACGCCGCGACCTCGACATTCGGGAGTCACGCTCTCGCTGTGGATTTCCTCACGATTGATTTTTGAGTCGCGCTATCGCTCGAGACGTCCTCGCGAATTAATGCAGGACCCACGCTTCAGCAACCCGCCTGCTCGACTTGGTCGCCTGGGCTCGCCTTCCCGACCCGCCCGCTATGGGTTTGCCCATCCGATCTGCCCGTCTGGTTCTACCAGTTGTTTTCGGCTCCTTGCCCCCCTCCTGCCTGTTGCTCTCGTGCTCCATCCTTCTCCCTTCCCCTTCCACCCGCCCGCTCTTTCCATGTTTTAGGGGCTGCGCTAAATACGCGTGGCAGGTAAGGAAGATACACCCCCACGGGGGTACGATCGAAAACGACGAGGGCGGGTACCAAGGGTATGGGATATACGTATTGGACGGCACGTGAGGAGATAGGAACGAGCAATATTAAGCTGATTGTTGTTGTTGTGGCTCTTGTTGGTTGTTGTGATTGCGGTTGCTGTTGCCGTTGTTGTTGCTGCTGCTGCTGTTGCTGTTATTGTTGTTGTTATTGTTGTTGTCGTTGTTGTTGTTGTTGTTGTTGTTGTTGTTGTTGTTGTTGTTTACGTTGTTGTTTCGTTGTTGTTTGTTGTTTGTTGATGGTTGTTGCTTGTTGGTTGTTGTTTGTGGTTAAGGTTGTGTTTGTTGTTGGAATTACTGTTGTTGTGGTTGTTGTTGTTGTTGTTGTTGTTGTTGTTGTTGCTGTTGTTGCTGTTGTGGTGGTGGTGGTGGTGGTTGTGGTGGTGGTGGTGGTTGTGGTGGTGGTGGTGGTGGTTGTTGTGGTTTTGGTTGTGGTTTTGGTTGTGCGTGTTTGTTCGGCGTGTCCTCAGGAGGGGGGGTCCCACCGCCAGGGGATGGGCGGGGGCCGATGTCGGGCAGAACGTCGCCTTCCTCCAGAGGGGTATGTCTTCTATTCGACTCGTGGATCTCCTGTCTTGGCCACGAGGTGTTCGTACCCTGGTGAGCAGGGGTTCTCCCTGTCGTTCGTTTCGCCCGTTCCTGCTCACGAGTCCAGTTGTCTCCTCCCTGACTGCCAAGGCTGCACGTCCCGTACGACGAGCGACGATTGCGATTGGTTGGTGGTGGTGCTCATGCCTCACGGGGTGATCAGGAGAGGAAGCACGCCCACAGCGATTTCGTATCAGGACCGTGTGCGTGCGAGACATAAGCCTTCCCTCGGTGCAAGGACGTCCGGCCCACGCGTGGAGGCGTTGACTGGCCACAAGAGGAGGCTCGCAGCGGCCCCTTCGAGGAGGGACAGGAGGGCGCGCACCCAGGCGCTCGCCGACCCGGCGATGTGCAAGCTCGCGGTCACGCGGCTTCGCAACCAGTGGAGGAGCGCCGAGCGCCCCCCTTGCGCTCGCGGGCGCGCCCGCGCTCTCACTGTATGGTTGTTCTGGGGGCCCGCCATCTCTTTCGGCCGCGCCCTCCTCCTCCTCCTCCTCCTCCTCCTCCTCCTCCTCCTCCTCCTCCTCCTCTTGCATGGTGACACAATTCGCCATAACGGCATCCCCGTTAAGGCCTTTCCGCTAGCGCAGCCTTCCCCTGCCTCGCCGCCGACGCAAAAAGTTTGTTCTGGGGACTTTCCCTCGGGTCCACGTGACGGATCTGTTCGGCCCCAGTTCGGGCGTTCCAGAGAGGTCCTTGCCTTCGAGGATCGAAGGAATTGCCACTTTTTTCTCGGCGGGAGCGGCGGAAGGGCGGCGGAAGGCGTCCGAAGTAAAAACGAGGCCGCCTCCGACGGCGGCAGCTGGCGGAAGGGCGGCGGAAGGGCGGCGGAATGGGCGGAAGTAAAGCACGACCGTTTCGGTTGAATTTTTTCCATGAGGCCCATCACGTAACTTCCAGCGTCACGAGGGTGTAGTGCGCGCAACAAAAAAAGCAAGTCAAACATGCGCCCCCCAAGAGATGGAAACGTTTTGGGTTCAGGGCCTTCTGCAATCCGCCAAATCGACTCCAGCTCGTCGCCAGCTCGATTCCACTTTTCGGGTCGAGCTCGACCCCGGGCGACGGTCCGGGGCGGCCCACGCGACCCCCAGCAAACCATCTCTCTCCGTGACGCCCCCCCTCGCCTCGACCCAAGATGTGTGTGTGTGGCCCGTTTAGCCCGACCGCTGGCGCAGTAACCTCTGCCTCGCCGCCGACGAGTGTATATATAAATATATATATATATGCATATCTATATATATGTATTTATATTTACACGTGTATATATACATATATGTATATATGTGTATACATACATGTACATGTGTATCTATATTGAGATAAGTATGTTAGGTGTGTGTGTGCGCGCGGCCGGGTGGGAGCTTGAGAGGCGAGGGGGACGTCACGGATCGGAGGAGGCAAAGCTACCCACATCTCTACCCTTGCCTCGTTTCCCCCTGGGTTGTCGCCACCGCTGGATTCGCCTCGAAATCCCAGTGAGAGCGCACCCTGGGAGAGTGCTCTTGGGAGCAGCGGCGTCGGCACCTCTTGGGCTCCCCAGCGGAAGGTGCTGGTCTGCCAGGGGTCGGTCAGGCCGCGCCCGAGACGGGCGCTCGATGCGGCATCGACGCACAAGCGGGGCGAGGGACTCCAGGAGGGTTCCCAGACCCAGACCCTTGACGTCGTGATTTTTTTCGCGACGGGTGCCCCCAGCTGTTCGCTCGATTTTGGTGCCCCTCGGGCCCCCTGGCCCTCGTGAGGTGAGACGACGCCGGGACGAGGGTAACATCGGGTGGGGATACATCGAGAATCTCTGAGATCCGGGCGGTTCTGGAGGGTGTCTCGGGCGCCGCGGCATTCTTGGAGCGTTCCGGAACGCTCCGAGAGCGTTCTGCAGCGCTTTGGGAGCGGATTTCTCCTCGTCCTCACCCCGTCTGGTGATTGGGGTGCTCAGGAGGCCGGGGGCGCCTTCTTTGCACAGCGTCGACCCCCAGGGGCCTGGGCCCTTTCCCTGGGGCTGGTTGTTCGTCCCGAGTCGCTTATTGACGGACCCGAGGCCCAGAGAGGGCCCCCGGAGGCCGAAGACAGCGGAAAACCTCCCATCCTGATTTTTCCCTACCTAGGCTCTGCCTAGAAGGGTTCTTACTCTGTCAGCTTAAAGGGGCCGGGCAGTGGGGCTCGCCCCGGGCGGTTCCCCCAGTATCCGCCCCGCGGTTCCCCCAGTTACGTCCCCTTAGCTTAGCGTTGCTTATCTCATCTTAGCTTAGCTTATTTCATCTTAGCTTAGCTTAGCTTCATCTTAGCTCAAGGTTATCTTAGATTAGCTTGCCTTCATCTTAGCTTCGCTGAGCTTTAGCATAGCAGAACACAGCATAGCATAGCATTTCGTAGCATAGCATAGCGCAGCACAGCATATCATAGCATATCACACCGCAGCATAGCATAGCATAGCATAGCGCAGCACAGCACAGCACAGCATAGCATAGCGCAGCATAGCATAGCATAGCAGAGCACAGCATAGCATAGCATCAAAGCGAAGGCAAAGCAACAGCAGCGACAGCAAAGCAAAGCACAAGCAACGCAAAGCAAAGCAAAGCAAAGCAAAGCAGAAGCAAAAGCAAAGCAAAGGAAAGGCAAAGCAACAGCAATGTGCGACAGATGCCTACCTAGGCTCTGCCTAGAGGATTATATTAGCTTAGCTTAGCTTAGCATAGCGCAGCGCTGCATTAGCATAGCATAGCATAGCATACCATAGCCAAGCCTATCATAGCATATCATAGCATAGCATAGCGCAGCATAGCATAGCATAGCATAGCATATCATAGCATAGCATAACATAACATAGCATATCATATCATACCATGTCATACCATAGCGCAGCTTAGCATAGCATATCATATCATAACATAGCTCAGCATAGCACAGCGCAGCATGACATAGCATCGCTTAACATAGCATAACACATCACATCATAGCATAGCATCGCATAGCGCAGCATAGCATAGCATATCATAGCATAGCATAACGCAGCATAGCATGGCATAGCATAGCATAGCATAGCATAGCATAGCAACTAATGCTGCTTTCCTAGGGGCTCCAACTTCTAGGTAGGGTCGCACTGGGGTAATTTTTGGCTCCGCGACACGAGGGGGTCTGGGAAGGGTGCCCTGGTCCGAAATCCGGCTTGATCCGGCTTATTTTTCCGGCTTCATCCCGCTTAATCCCGTTCAATCCGGCTTAATCCGAGGCCCACTCCGGCACAACAGCCCCCCGATGGGGCTTAATCTTCTTTTATCTGCCCGACGAGAACCTCCCAGCAGTTGCCTCCTAACCTGCCCCCAGGGCCGGTGTCTCGTCCTGACTCGTTTCTGACGCCCCCGAGGCCCGGCGGGGCCCCCGCCCGCTCCCACTCTGTTTGGGGCGTCGGATTTTGGGGTCGTGTTTTTTTTCACGACGCAAGGGGGTCTGGGAACACTGGATCCCCTCGCGCCAGAGTCCCCCGGCGGACCGGGGCTGGACCTAACTACACGTTGCTTCTCGTTTTCTTTTCGGCACGTTTTTCGGTTTGCTCCTCCCGTTCTCCTGTGACCCCTTCCCAGAACGAAAAACATAACTAGGG